TGAAAGGAGGGATTTAGGATATTTGCTGTTTAAAGTGATATATAAACTGACATATCTGCACTCCTCTTCAAAGGCAGTGACAATGTGAATGATAGTGAATTTTTTTTTTAAGGGGGGGGGGGGATCACCCTGCCTCAGTGGGAGATAGCCAGCATGTTAAAAAAAAAAAAATACAATATTGCTCCAGCAAGTGACATCTGCTGGCTATTATAAACTTTCAGTGTATAATAATATTGTGTAAGCTGTAGTCTTTGATTGTTATTACTATAAATAAGTTTAGCGCTAAACCAAAAGGAGTCAGAGAAGTGTTTGGTTAAGTTTCCTAATTAAGCTAACCTGACATATAAGTGTAGTTGGTACTGTACAAACTTGTAAAATTTGAGTGGTGATTATTATTATTATTTAGCAGGTTGGCCAATTGTCCTTGGCAGACCATGAGGGGAACAAAGAAAAGGGTTCCTTTCTTCTAATAATGTCGCTTTACACTCTGCAGCACTGTGAGCATATACATTTTCTCATTATTTCCTTAATGGCTAGCTACTAGTTTTCAATTCACTGCATTTTTTCTCTTGCCTGTTCTTTTCCCATCTCTTTTATACATTCACTAGTAAGTGCTTAAGGTCAATATAAGCCTCCCCATACATCTCGGCTTCTTGGCACAGGCAAGCGCCAACTTTCACGTACGTATATGATAGAAAAATCAGTGGGTAGAGCTCTTTGTTGTTTTTAGTGGGGTACTCCTTTACGGGTAAGAAACAGAAATGTATAGGACACGTATTGTACTGCACTACACAGGTCTTCACCGTCTAATAAGCAGAGATCTGATCAGTATTTATAACTAACAAGTACAGTACTAAACCACTTCTCATAATAAATATTTAAAGTAAATTATTATTATTATAATCAGAACTAAGCACTAAACCCACCAGGGTCATACAGCTATTTAAAGTAAAACCATTGCAACGCAGAAAATAATTTTATTTCCAGCAATCTTTTAAATAGATAAAACATTCTGACTTGAGCCTGGAACACTGTGAAAACTTGGAAGCAAAAGCCACATGCTATACAATATATTGTAAATCCATACTATACCTAACATTTAAAAATCTTATACTATACAAAGGTACAGTATGTAAAAATATATTATCATGTTATATATAAATAGTAAATGACGAACTACAGATGGATAGGTAATGGTACAAGATTATGACACGATGGAACATACAAATGCAGTTACAAGGAATCCTTTATTGGTGACATTTTTATCTTTACCTATGCAGTAGGCTTTTATCAAGTCACAAACATGTGGCCTTTTATGACTTGATAAAAGTTCACTGCATGGGAAAATGTTATCAATAAAGGATTCCATATTAATTTATCTCTATTTACTATGTACTACTGATCTTGAACTTGAACAGTACTTAGAAATATCATACAATAATTAACCTTTAAAATTTGAGGGTTATGTTCCTGGAAGTTCCAGTGAATTTGAAGACTGCAAACACCACCAAATGCATTTCTATTGTATATTTTATTTCAAATTTGGGCTCATTTTTCTTTTCAGATCCCATTTTCTAACTTCATTAATACTGGCATTCATAACAAAACTTAGCAAAAAAAAAATTTAAGTAGGAAACCCAGTCAGCACATTTTAACCCTTTCAGGGTCCGTCCCGTAGATCTACGGCTTTACGTTCAGGGTCCAAACCGTAGATCTACGCCATGAGCTCAGCTCACTCTGATAAACTGTGAGTGGTACATTTGGGCCTAGATATGAGAGAATACATCTATGTGGTATGTGTGCACCACATAAAACAGATCCTGCAGCACACTGTGTATAATGAGAGAAAAAAAATGAAATCATGATTTTTCGATTAAAACAGCAACTTTGCAGTGTTTTTTCGTATGTTTTTTATAGTTGTATTTGCGATTTCTTGGTCTCATTTGATAGAATGGAAGACATATTACAGAAATAGAGATGATTTTGATTGGTTTTAGCACTGGAAATGGCTTGAAACTGAGCTCAAAGTAGCAGAAATGTTAAATTTTTGCCGATATTCAAGAGTAAACAAACGACCTCATACGTCTAATACACGTCAGCTGGTGGGTCTAATATACATTCACAAATATGGTGATGATATTTATACAATTATTACAGTATTGCATAACAGTAAATCTTCTATTTTTTGGTGTGAATAAAAATTCATTATGTGAATAAAAAATCAAAATGGAATTTATTTGTAAAGCCTCAAAACATAACTAATGAACAGAGGAAATGTTAGTTTAGTGCCAGGAATGCCTACATTGTTCATTCTGGACCCTATTTTGAAATTGGAATATTTTGAACTTCGTGTTAAATTGGCCAAATTAACAATTTCCGATCACTTTATTTTGTAGTTGAAACAGTTGACTTGGCGATTTCTTGTGCTCAATCGATAGAATAGAAGTAATACTAGTGAAATAGCTAAGAATTTGGTTGATTGGAATAATGTAATTGGCCTAAAATGGGAGTCAAAGTCGGCAAAATCGCCGATTCGTAAATATCGCTGACACATCAAAATTCGCGAGAGCATAATTTCGTCAATTTTCCACCAAATTTCGTACTTTTTGTTTTATTACCTTCACAAAAAGAATCTCTACGATTTCATAAGAAAAAATAACAAATTTTTTTTTTTTAAATTCTTGGACACTGGTGCGTGACTCCAGATTTGGGCCTTGGACCCTGAAAGGGTTAATGAAAGTCCTATGGCTGGTTTTAAGTTTAGGTGTTGTATGTCAAGCCAAACAAAATGGCCAATGAGAAAAAAAAGTGAATATTCAAAATAATGTGAGCGGCCCTACCCTCCTTAAGGTGAAAGTGTTGAATGATGATGAAAATATTTTTTTTTGGGGGGGGGGGGATTTTCTTTCTTTTTGGGTCACCCTGCTTCGGTAGGAGACGACAAAAAAAAAAAAAAATTATATATATATATATATTTTTTTTTCAACAAGTCGGCCGTCTCCCAGAGGCAGGGTGACCCAAAAAAGAAAGAAAATCGCCAAAAAGAAAATACTTTCATCATCATTCAACACTTTCACCACACTCACACATTATCACTGCTTTTGCAGAGGTGCTCAGAATACAACAGCTTAGAAGCATATACGTATAAAGATACACAACATATCCCTCCAAACTGCCAATATCCCAAACCCCTCCTTTAAAGTGCAGGCATTGTACTTCCCATTTCCAGGACTCAAGTCCGACTATATGAACATAACCGGTTTCCCTGAATCCCTTCACTAAATATTACCCTGCTCACACTCCAACAGATCGTCAGGTCCCAAGTATCATTCGCCTCCATTCACTCCTATCTAACACGCTCATGCACGCCTGCTGGAAGTCCAAGCCCCTCGCCCACAAAACCTCCTTTACCCCCTCTTTCCAACCCTTTCGAGGACGACCCCTACCCCTCTTTCCTTCCCCTATAGATTTACATGCTTTCCATGTCATTCTACTTTGATCCATTCTCTCTAAATGACCAAACCACCTCAACAACCCCTCTTCTGCCCTCTGACTAATGCTTTTATTAACTCCACACCTTCTCCTAATTTCCACACTCCGAATTTTCTGCATAATATTTACACCACACATTGCCCTTAGACAGGACATCTCCACTGCCTCCAACCGTCTCCTCGCTGCTGCATTTACCACCCAAGCTTCACATCCATATAAGAGTGTTGGTACTACTATTCTTTCATACATTCCCTTCTTTGCCTCCATAGATAACGTTTTTTGACTCCACATATACCTCAACGCACCACTCACCTTTTTTCCCTCATCAATTCTATGATTAACCTCATCCTTCATAAATCCATCCGCCAACACGTCAACTCCCAAGTATCTGAAAACATTAACTTCTTCCATACTAGTCCTCCCCAATTTGATATCCAATTTTTCTTTATCTAAATCATTTGATACCCTCATCACCCTACTCTTTTCTATGTTCACTTTCAACTTTCTACCTTTACACACATTCTCAAACTCATCCACTAACCTTTGCAATTTTTCTTCAGAATCTCCCATAAGCACAGTATCATCAGCAAAAAAGTAACTGTGTCAATTCCCATTTTGAATTTGATTCCCCATAATTTAATCCCACCCCTCTCCCAAACACCCTAGCATTTACTTCTTTTACAACCCCATCTATAAATATATTAGACAACCATGGTGACATTACACATCCCTGTCTAAGACCTACTTTTACCGGGAAGTATTCTCCCTCTCTTCTACACACCCTAACCTGAGCCTCACTATCCTCATAAAAGCTCTTTACAGCATTTAGTAACTTACCACCTATTCCATATACTTGCAACATCTGCCACATAGCTCCTCTATCCACTCTATCATATGCCTTTTCTAAATCCATAAATGCAATAAAAACTTCCCTACCTTTATCTAAATACTGTTCGCATATATGCTTCAATGTAAACACTTGATCTACAAAACCCCAAACCCACTCTGAAGCCCCTGTCATCCGCAATCCTACATTCTGTCTTACCTCTAATTCTTTCAAATTTTAACCCTACCGTATACTTTTCCTGGTATACTCAGTAAACTTATTCCTCTATAATTTTTACAATCTCTTTTGTCCCTTTCCCTTTAATAAGGGGCTATACATGCCTCCGCCAATCCCTAGGTACCATTCCCCTCTTTCTACATTTATTAACAAAAGTACCAACCACTCCAACACTATATCCCCCCCTGCCTTTAACATTTCTGTCCATGATCAAATCAGTTCCAGCTGCTTTACCCCCTTTCATTCTACGTAATTTCCTCACGTACCTCCACCACACTTACATTCTGCTCTTCTTCACTCCTAAAGATGGTATACCTCCCTGGCCAGTGCATGAAATTACCGCCTCCCTTTCTTCCTCAACATTTAAAAAATTCCTCAAAATATTCTCGCCATCTACCTAATACCTCCCTTCCCCCCTCTACTAACTCCCCTACTCTGTTTTTAAAATGAAAAATCCATACTTTCCCTAGGCTTTCTTAACTTGTTTAACTCACTCCAAAATTTTTTCTTGTTTTCATTAAAATTTCTTGACAGTGCCTCTCCCACTCTTTCATCTGCTCTCCTTTTGCACTCTCTCACCACTCTCTTCACCTTTCTTTTACTCTCCATATACTCTGCTCTTCTTATAACACTTCTGCTTTGTAAAAACCTCTCGTAAGCTACCTTTTTCTCTTTTTTTCTTTTTCTCGGTGGGAGACGGCCGACTTATTGAAAAAAAAAAAAAAAAAAAAAAATATATATATATCTTTTTTTTTTAAATATGAAATGAACATGGTTTTATTTTACTTGTCAACAATTTCTGTACACACATCCATAAAAAGATTTACACTGTATGTAAATGCTAACTTTTGAAAGCCATGCACAAAACTATTAGATATAATGAAGTACTGTAATACAGTATAGTGAGTTTCACTGAAATACAGTGTCCCTGTATTGGTTGTTGGGCTATATGAGTTTGTTTCAAGTTTATATGTGCATGGGTTATGAAACAAAAAATGGTATAATACAACAATACTGAACTGTTAAAGAAAGATAAATGTATAAATATGATTTTTGCTTTTAAGGTTATTATACAAGATTACAGAAAAGGAACTTTCTGGAAAAATCAGTTGGCAACTTCATACAAAGCCACCCTTGAGGAACAACCATTTTCATATTACCCATTTTCACATTCAGGTTTTCCCTCACTTTATGATGATTTGCTTAATGATAAATTGCTACTATGCAAACCCCAATTTCTATCAGGAATTCCACAGATGTCTTCAATGAAGGCAAAGTGACCCAAAGAGGAAAACACAACCACTTATTCTTTCAAGTGTTGTCTTGCCAGAAGTGTGCTGACATCACAATTCAGATTACAACAACCTCCAACTGCAACTTCCCTACGTCTCTGTTAGAATACAGTCACTATCATTTTCATCTCCAGGACTCAAGTCTGGCTAACAGGTTTCCCTGAATCCCTTCACAAAAATTACATTGCTCACACTCCAACAGCACATCCATTAAAAGCCACTTGCCTCCATTCAATCCTAACACACACAAATCTGCTGGATGCTCAAGCCCCTAAAACTCAAAAGCCTCTTTTACCCCCTCCCTCCAAATGTTCCTTGGACAATCCTACCCCTCCTACCTTCCACCTCAGATTTATACACCCTCTGTCATCCCAATCCTCTCCATCCTTTCTACAAGAACAAATTACCTCAACAACCCCTCTTCAGCCCTATGAATTATGGGGAATTGTGTTAATGGCCTGATTGGGTTTAGCACAGTTGCCCTGAATTTGGAATGAATCTATATCAAGTGAGGTTCACCTATACTTGCATTGTATTGTACTGTATAAGCTTATACACTATATACTGGTAGTCACATCTTGTTTGCCTACATTTATTAATAATCCCTCAATTTAACAAATTAATGATAGGGCAAGGGTAGTCAGTAAAGTTGTGATGGATACAGGTGGAAGTGTTTTATCAAGATCATAACAATAATGAATAATTCTGTAACCAAAGAACATTGTCCTTCATTTCAGTATCAACTAACACAGGGAATTTTGCCCTAGATTTCCAAAGGCCATTGAATCAAGGGCTCCTAAATAGCACTAAACCAATATGGGCCATTCATTGTATCATATTACTATTATTTAATTCATGGGGGAGCACTAATCCTGTAAGAAATGGAAAGTAATCAGGTTTGATCAACAGGAAGAGTAGCTCCAAATCTTTTGATCAAGAGCCCTTCACTAGAATCAAAGCATCACCACTGAATGGTGGTAGTAGAAAAGGGATGCACAATTGGGTGAGAACTAAAGAAATATAAACAGTGAAGTGTGAATGCCACAGAGTTAAAAATTTCATAAGTGTATTTTTTTTATTTAATTTTAAGACATTTTAGCTAAGATGCTGAGAAAAACTTCTTAAATTTACAACTCTTGGTAATTAATTTCTGTCTCTATATACAATTATGATTTTATCACACATATGATGAGGAGTATCATTAAGGAATATCATAAATAACTTTTAAACAAACTTGGTCATGCCTCAAACTTAAAGTTAGTGTCAAATAACAGATTATGACCAAGAGTCAATGTGCAGTACCCTGAAGACTTCACCTGTTAACATTATCAGAATTCAGCTACCATACATCTCGCTGCCAATAAATTAGGTAGGTGCTTGAGCATTATTCTCCACTACAATATATAAGTGAGAGTCTTGTGCCTGTGCATCTGATAACATTATGTACATCTGTGATGCTCCACTCCTGCTGTTGTTCACCACTTCAATGCTGTTTGGTTTCCCAGCCTCCACTGATTGTTCATCCCTCTTTAACACCATAAATTCTTGAGGGTCATCAACATTTTCTTCTGAGCAAAATGAACCTGGGAGCACTTTAATGCTCTGATGCATTTTAGGCTCTTTACAGTCACCTACAGTCACTAAAGCTGCATTTCGTTCGTGTAATTCTGTTGCAGATTCTTCACTATTTATACATGATTTACTGTCACTTTTATTAACAGAAATTCTTCCCTCTTCTAAGTGAGTAATAGCTAAGACAACAGAGTCTTTTTTAGAATGTTTCTCGGTAATGATTTCAGAGATGACTGACACAGATTCTTCACCAAGGTCTGGTAAGGTCTGGGTATAAGAATTTACATATTCATAATTAAGAGGATCAACAGTTGCAGCCATAGCCTGCTCTAAAACATCTAAAGAATTATGAATAACTTTTGGAGAAGCACGGACGACAACTTCCTCTCTCACTATTGTCCTTTTTAATTTCAGCTGCTTTAGTCTATTAGCTTCCTCTTTGGGATGATTCTTCTTGCGGTGAAGTCTTAATGCGCCATGATTTCGGAAGGCAGTCCCACAATAAATACACTTAAATGGCATTTCACCACTATGAAGTTTTCGGTGAGTTGTATAATGATGTCGTAGGCTAAAACTGTTACCACAAATTTCACAGACAAAATTCTTGGCTCCTGTGTGTTTAACCATGTGTTGCTTTAGTGTACCACTATTTCGAAAATCTCTCCCGCATGTTGTACATTTGTATGGCTTTTCTCCACTATGAATTCTTTGATGTCTTTTGTATGAACTGTTAACAGTAAACTCTTGACCACAAATTTCACACTTATAGTGCCGTTCCCCTGTATGGATAACACTGTGTTTCCTAAGATCTGCTTGTCTTCGAGTTCTATAAATGCAGAAGTTACAAGAATACAATTTAGGCTTGTCCACCTCATGACTATCTACATGGTAACGAAAACCTCCAGCTGAGATGAACTTTTTGCCACAGTATTCACAAATGAATTTGCAGTCATGAGCATTAATCTTATTAATGCTTTTAGCATCTCCAAAATTAACCTTATATACGTTCTTTGTTATCCTAATGTTTTTCTTAGATTTTTTATCAATAGCAAGAGTATCTAAATCAACCGCAATAATTTCTCTTGCCTTTTCTGAGAGTTTTCTTGTCCGCTTTCCTAAAGAGGGATGATTTGAAATTCCCGCGAATAAATCAGCTAAAGTCTTTCTGTCTCGTGTGGCACTTGATTCGTCAGATGACTCTTGCAACCTTTGGTGCCTGCTGCCGACTTTAAGTGACTCTGAAAGCATTTTTGTACCTTTCAGAGTTTCTGGCACTTCTGTATCTGAATTTATTGGCTTGAAGTCTTCACTCTCTTTATAATATATACAATTAGATACAAAATCTTTTGGACTGGATTCATTTGAATCTTGGCCCAGGAGGAGTGTTTCATTGACAACAATATACGAATTCTCCAAGTCTGTTTGTACAACATCCTTACGTGTTGAGCATACAATACTATTTGTATCTGAAAGAGTGTTACTTACATCTGGCATTCCTGACAATGCACTGGAAGCTGATGAAAGGGAAAGAAAGCTGTTTTTTGGTAAAGAAGTATTAACATTAACTTCAATATCAGAGTCAAATATCTTCTCACTCTCTACCATGTCACAAACATTCTTACTTTTAAACAAAGAATTACCATTATCTATATTTTCACTACTTTCCTTTTCCTCTAACATGCTTCTTTTAACACAAATTCTTCCTTTTTTATTTTGTTCATTTACAATCTCCTCAACACCTACAATTCCATTAAGTACATCTCCTGTGGAAATATTTTCATCAGTGCTGTCAGAGCATGTTTCCTCTTTAACACGAGTAAGCACAACCTCATTGGTTGATGTATCTTCAAAAGTTGGCAAAACATGAGCCATATTGTTATTATCTATATTAAAATTTTGGCTCTCTTGAGTACTCACTGTTTTACAGCTGGTTTGATCATTTTCCTTAGCATTATTTTCAGACTTAATCTCACTTATGCCACTGATTTTTCCACTTCTAAGAGTAGACTTAGCATACTTGGAACTTTGGCTAACGAGATGCATTTTTCCTTGATTAAGGTGATTCTGGACTTTCAGATCCCATATATAACATCTTTCACCAATGAATTCTACATTAATATTATAGCCCCATGGTATAAATGTTCCATAACAAACAAAACAGGTTTCACAATATTGATAAATCACTTCAGAATTTCTTTCATTACAATGACAGCACTCGTAAAACTGAAGATGTGAGCAGTCAGTACACAGCAAGTCTAAATGATTCTCACAAACATCTGTGGCTTCAGTGGACTTATACTGAGTAATATTCTTTGGGCTATATGGCAAAATCTGACTATACACAGAATCAACGCTGTCTGGTGAATCAAGTGGCTCACCATTTACCTGCTTTACTTGCTCTTCTTTCCTATTGGGGATAAGTTTTTGAGCTTTCAAAATCCCAACACAAGAGTCATTGCACAAGTTACTATCCATGCCGGATTGACAACTTCCACTTGTTACTCTCGTTTTGGAAATATTATTGAGTTCAATATCATCGTGGTATGAACAAGGCTGGTGTGACTTTGATGGCAGTACATCTTTGATTACCTCTTGTCCAGAGACTCCCTGACCCTGAAAATAGAGGGGGCCTTATGAATTACACAAGATACATAAAGAGAAAATTTATTATTGATAGATGCCTGCCATCAAAGTCACATTTCCTCTTGTAGAAAATATAGGATTCCCTGACTAGAAGCACAAAACATTATACATTCAAGCACTCTGTTGTAAAATTGGTGTCCTATATCACTGGCAGGAGTGATAGGAAATAAGAAAGAAACAATAAAACGCAGATAGGCACAGTGAAAGAGGTAATGATTTCTGGAGAGAGAGAGAGAGAGAGAGAGAGAGAGAAAAAAAAAAAAAAAAAAAAAAAAAAAAAAAAAAAAAAAAAAAATTGGCGGTAAATTTTGTTGAAACATACACAAAAAACAGTAACTGAATTTTTTTTTTTTATAAGACTACATGAGGAGCTAGGGAAATGCAAGTTTCAGGATGATGAAAGTAAAATGTGAATGAATGCACTGCAAGATGATAAAATTGGAAAGTGTTATCATTACACAAAACTATATGATTAGCATAATTTGTTTAGAAGAGATATCAGAAAAAACTTCGATTCAGTGAAGTCCTTCACGGGGTCGTGAAACGAAAAATATATAAGTGACTAGGGAAAAAAAAAAAGTTTGCAAGATGTAAATCCAAACCTAGCCAGTGAGTACATGAGCTAAACAGTGACATTTAATTAAATAAACACAATTTGCATTCCAGCTGGGAAAAATTGCCCACCTTAGGGGTACTTCTGGAAATAGTATAAGAGAATTAGTAAACAAATATACACAGGATTAAGAAACTCAAATACAGTACAGTGTATGAAGACCAGAATCAAACAAATTAGGTGAAATGCCCTAAAGTTTGGTCAAGGAAGTACATAAAGTAATATTAGTAATAACTGTGATAACTAAAAGCACTTGGGATGTGAATGATTTTGCCAGTGTTGTATACTGTGCTGAGGAATATTGTTATAAATATTTCAAGAAAATATATCTTGTAAGTGCAGATAAAGAAGGTTGTAACTTAGGGTGGAACTCACCAAAAGGATATCTGAAGGGAATGAGTTATATTACAAATTACTGGAAAAGTCCTTACATCAGCATCATTATCACTACTGACATGTCCATCTTCTGGTCTTGCTATTGCTCTTCCCTTCCCGCGGCTACGCCCCTTACCCCGACCAATATCATCAGATCGGCCTTTCCAACTTCTCCCTCTTCCACGTTTTCGGGCCGTAGTTTGTGACATCTGAATACAGCGAAGGCATCTTGGTTTCAGCATCTGTAATGACACATTTAATTCAAATTTTTGTTTAAAACTGAAAGGTTTCATAAAATTTATATAAAGTTTTCTTAAGGTGGTTCATTAGAGAAAGACAAAACAGGATTTCTGTGAACTATACAGTAATGGATAATTTTATCATTAATGTTATGGGGTATATAAGCAATGTGAAATGTTTTCCAAGTGTTTTGTAATGCTGATTCTTTCTTTTTTATTTATTCTGTAATGTTTTGCTTCAAATTTGGAGAGGGAACATTCACGACAAAAAAAAGCCTTCAAAAAGTTGTATCTACACACCTTGAGGAACCTTTCCTATGCACATTTCTCTACTCTAAGATATTGGTTGACTACTAATAACTACAGCCTCTCCTCACTTAACGACGGAGTTCTGTTCTTAAGACCACGTCATTAAACCAATTCGTTGCTAAGTGAGGAGCATACTATATTGGTGCGTGAGTTTGTGTCAACCATCTTTGATATTATTTTAAATAATGCATATTACAGCTGATTTCATCTATTCTGTTTATTTCAATATACAGTACACTACTGTATAAACATTTAAAAATATACCAGAAATGTTATAAATGGTGCGAAGGTAACATTAAGTATGAATACTGGTCAGAGAGCCTGTTGTAGGTCCGAGGCATCAGTAAACGAGTACGTCACTAAGTGAGGAGAGGCTGTACTCATATACCTCATGCTTATTAATCATACTTCATCTTTGTCCAAACTGTCATATAACTATAAATTCAATTATATCTCTGGCAGCCCATTCTCCACAATCTTGCAATTTTCACATATTTTTAGTAATTTTCTAATACCACAAGTACTACATGAAAAAACGTTTATTTCTGCATCTCAATATCACTTTCACTCTTATAGGTCATGACTGGGAAAAGACACATGAAGCACTTCCAAGATAAACTAAATAAGTATCAATTTTAGAAAAACTGAGAAAAAAAAAAAAAAAAAAAAAAAAAAAAAAAAAAAAAAAAAAAAAAAAAAGGTTCAGAGTACTAATCCAAACTAATTTCCTTGACCACTTTTATTATATTAGTGCATCTTTAAAACAAGCAGTCTGATTATGATTGTAGTTTCCCTCTTTATTTCAAAGGGAAAATTTAAGTGTAGCAATGAAGACCAGGAATAAACTTAGATTATTACTGTATTCACAGGGAATCACTTAATCCGTAAGGGTCATACAGACCCTAAAGAAAGATCTAAGAAAGAGTAAAGAAGCTCCAGTTCTTTAGACGAAGAACTGGTCATGACCATCAAGGGAAACACCCCTTCGAGGGGAAGGAGTTACATTGTAGACTGATTACTGAATATACAGTATATGTATATTCAGTAAAGGAAAATAAAGGAACTATAGTTAATTAAGCTGAATAATAAAATTTTATATAATGTAGTGTACAGTATACTTAAAAAGTAGTGCAAGTGCTATACTCTGGACATTTTATGTATGGTACATCAAAATAACAACCTTGTCAGTTCTAGGATATTTTAGCTTGAGCTTCTGAATGGTTTCTAAAAACTTAGTGCGAACATCAGTCTTCGATTCTGTGAGAGTCTGCTGCAACTCATCAATAATATCAAGTAGGTGATAACATGCTTTGCAGACAACCTGAAAGGAAAAATGATATACAGTATGAGGATAATACTTTTTTTCTAGTTTTCCACACCTAATACGTCATTACCTAACACTTTATTTTATCAAGTACTTATCACCTTTATTAATTTTTTAAAATTTTAAACCATAAAATGGCCTACAAGGAACTAAATTTTATATGTAACAATGTATTAATGCATCAGAAGCTCTATATTAAGCCACCAGACCTGTGAGTGAAGTCTGCCATCCTCAAGTTTATAACCAAGGACATCAGTGAGTAACACCAGCAATGGGGCGTGTGAATGATTCATGGATGCTTTCACTGATTCAAAGTTTTTATCAGATACAGGGTTACAGCACACAAAACATAGACGGTTTCTTTCAATTTCTTCATGATGTGATCCTTCGCCCTGTGAATAGATGATAACAGTAATTTAAAGCCGATAAAAAAATAAGCTCAAACTCATGGAAATGAAGGGATATTACCATCTGTTCCCAAATAGATTTGAATATGTACCATTTCACAAGGGAGATAAACTTCCATTCTGCTAAAAGCAATAATGCTTGAAAAGTTACAGTTCACATCCTGAGTCTTTAAACATAAGATTTTCTAGAGTTTTGCTTGATTTTAAAAATCTTTCATCTGATATGCAGTTTTAAGGAGTGCCACACTAATTACTCATACCTAACATATTGTACACTGTAATTCAATATGAATAAATTGACCTTACAGTACTGTACTTTACTTTTCTATGAGCCTGAGTCCAAAACATGGTACACTACTTGATTTTCAATGATGCTTGTTGTGTGCATAAAGGAAGCTGCAGAACGTCCAAGAGGCCCATCTTCACTGCCATCTGTTGCAACAAAGGAACTGCCTGCTGTGTTGATCATCCTTTGTGGGTGAGTCGATGCTGATGAGAAACCTTCATACACAACTTCTGGCGAATCATTCGCACTGTCATCCCACTTCTCTGCCATCTGCCAAAAGCAAACAATGAAGAATAACTTTTTTTTCAGGTAAAATAATCTGAAAATATAATTAACATACATATGAACTCCATAACTGGAGGAATTTCAACCACAACTCTTGATGCTTCAGCATAAATGAAGACCTTAAAGAACACTGCAGCACACCTACTGGCCCATGCTTGGCAGGTCTTTCTTAAATCCAATCCTTCTCGCCAATATATTTGTTCTTTATTGTTTGGATAACTTTGCACTCTACTTATATAGCTTTTATTGATGTCTGTCTTCCATTTCTACACTTCATTGATATTTTCCCTTATTCTCTCTCTCTGTTAAGAGAATTAGATTCAGGGAGCTTGATCTATCTTTGCATGAAGGATGTCTTATGCAGTGGGTTAATTTTGTCTTCTTTCTCAGTATATTTTCTAATGTATTTATATCCATTCATCAGTATGGGAACAAGAACCGAGCTGCATAATTTGAAGCCTTGCTAAAAATGCATATATAAGAACTGTATTATGAGCAGTTAGAAGACTTGTCCATACATTCTACCTTACAAGATTTTCCAGACAGTACAAAAAGGACTTTAATAAAGATGGTTATAAAAGACTACTACTCCTTGGCAGATTTTGGCCATTTATTAGTTTAAATTGCACAATATTAAGTTGGTTTTACAGTCGAGGTATTTTCTTGTGCAAATGGCAAAAAACTTGCCTAACAAAACTCACCTAACCCAACTTAACCTTACTCTACAATTGGTACTGACGCACCTTCGTTTACATTCACCCAGGCACATGACACGACTTAATACAAAGTGTTGATTGCCTCAGATATGCTGCACAACTAAAATTAATGAACTACTGCAATTCACAAATATGTTCCACAAAACAATCTGCAAAAGAAATACTTATTCTGTGGAGTACGTAAGTTGTATGTATTGTAAAATATATTATAATCAAAAACAAGCACTAAACCCACTAGGGTATTATAAAACTTAAATTAATGCCAGAGTCGAGCCCAGTAGTGGTGGGGAACTATAATTTACGATTATAGTTACGACTTTTTTTTATTTCCAAGAATCTATAAAGTAGGTTTATTTAGGTACATTATTAATATTATAATAAAAACCGAGTGCTAAACCCATCAGGGTCAAAGATGTTATTTTGATACATGGACACATAAATACAGTTACACAAATTATCACACATAAGTAAATTTCCCACCAGGATAACCCAAAAAAGTTAAAAGTGATTTATTCCCATTGGGGTTCTAGTAATATCTTATTATTTAAACTTTAAAAGTTAAAACTGCTAAATAACTCAACTGTGTGAAAATCAATTACAATAAAATATGCACTAAACCCACAAGGGACATACAGCACTATAATAAGAGGATACGTATATAGTATATTTGGAATAAGGTAAACAGAGTATTTTTTAAGTTATCCTGGGTAATGCACACATGTGATGCTATATATGATAATTTTTGTAACTGTATTTATGTGTAGCTAAATCAAATTATTTATTTACATCTATGAGTTTACAATGCAAAAAAAAAAAATTATTAAAATTATATTTAAGAGAAAGCATTAAACCCTGACGGTTATACAATGCCTCGGGAATGATAGACAATTAGGTTCTATACGAGGAAGGGGAGGACAAGTCCAATTCCTTGGATCAAGAGCCCTCCATCAGGATAAAGACAACTCCCTGAAGAAGCCAGACAATACAAACACCATACTTATTTTTCTTGAAAATACACATCACTCACAGACCTTGGGACTGTTTTGGAAGCTACTACACAAAAAAAACTATATCGTCAATCGAATTTGGCAAAAAAAAAAAAAAAAAGTTAAAATAAAGATTAATAATTTTTCGAAAATCCCCCCCCGTCTAGTATCTGCCTGAAGACAGGTGGGCACAACCCCGTCACTGTGCCATTTAACCTGTAATAAAGGCCACACACACGCCCACACACCATTAATATCACCCACCAAAGCAAGACACAGGCAGAGCGAGGGGTAAAACAGGAGCAGAAAGAAAAAAATCCTCAGAGGATTGTCCCCATATTGTTTACAAAGATGGCGGCTCCACCACCCGCTTTATTTAAAAAAAATAAAAATGAATTTTAATCATCTGTAAACGTTAAACCCGAATGATTCATACAACGTCTGGGGGATGGGGAGTAATCAAGTTTGTTTTAAGGAAAGGGAAAGTGGTTCAAGTTTCTTGGATTAAGAACCCCTCACCGGCGTCCAGAAACCTCACTTAGATCATTACACTGGAAATGACTAACTTAAAAACGATGAGTTACAATGATTATGTGCAGCATTGTGCACCCCTCAAAATACCCCAATCATAAGTTACTGTGAACACTCATGGAGAGAGACATAGGTTGGGCATGAGTCGGTATCGAGGGTTCACACGGTATCGGCTCAAGCGGCTCCTCAGACTCGTCCTACCCTTACACCCACTTACATCACTAATAATAATAATAATAATAATAATAATAATAATAATAATAATAATAATAATAATAATAATAATAATAATAATAATAATAATAAAATAATAATAATAATAATAATAACCATATTTAATACATGTATAAGGTATACAGGCCTAGCTGACATCAATGACATAATACTCTATACAAAAGCCGCTTGTTATGCTGAGCATTTCGGGCAAATTAGGTCAGTTTTGTCCCAGGATGCGACCCACACCAGTCCACCAGTATTTAGACAGTACACAAATAGTTATATAGATTATCATACATACCAGCATGTGTGTATTATTATAATTGCGAAGCGCTAAACCCTTAGGATTATACAGCACCTGTGGGAGGGGATGGAAGGTGTTCAGGCTTAATTCAGGGAACTGGAGAACAGATCCAATTCCCTAGATCAAGAGCCCCTCACCAGCATCAAGGAACCTCCCTTGAGGGGAGTGTGGAAAATTGCATTTACTTGGATGTATAATTATATACATAACAGTAAATGAACAATGATAACTATTATTTATCAGTTAGACAAGTAGGAATTTGGGACACTTAGGTCGCAAAACATGTCCCCTTCGATACCTACCACTGTCATATCCACAAGTTGCTCTGGACCTATTAATTAAATGAAATATACATACATCAGGAATACTGGTAAATATATAAATTTGTGGTCTGTATATTAAAAATAATAAATGGTTATATATATACACAATTACATAACAGAAGGAAAATATATCTTAATATCACTCACCAATTTGACTGGAGATTAATGTGTATTATACCCAGAAAACCTCCCTGTCTAAATTTATGAAATTACTGGCCAGAATTAAACAAACAAACAGATTTATCTGAGGTTCCTGGAGCTGTCTTGTCCAGTCGCCTCATACTCAAATTATGCAGGAATGCATATCCAACAATTTCGCCTCCTATTTGAGAGGTGTCGGCACAATTTTAACCTCTAGAGCACGAAAAATTCTTCCCATTCACTAACGTTGTATCCAATTCAAAACCAAGATGGTGAATGTCTCGTCTGCGCAGACGCAGGCTTTCCGTTTTCTATGACAAATATTCCCCTCAAGGAAGGTTCCTTGATGTTGGTGAGGGGCTCTTGATTTAGGGAATTGGATCTGTGCTCCAGTTCCCCGAATTAAGCCTGAATGCCTTCCACATCCCCCCCCCCCCAGGCGCTGTATAATCCTCCGGGTTTAGCGCTTCCCCTTGATTATAATAATAATAATAATATGACAAATATTATTAAATACAGTACGGCCATCTATTTACACATACTGAATTTCTGGAAAATATATACAGTATTTTCCACAGGGAGCATGTGTAGAGAACCTAGGATAACCCAAAAAGTCAGTGACACTTCCCAACTAGGTCAGGTGGACCCACTTGACTTAGTAATTAGTGTTAAGCACTAAACCCATGTGGATCACTCAGCGCAAGGCGTGGAGGCTCGAGCCTTCGTCTGCTGACCTTCGAAGTTGGCAAAGAACATTGCTGGAGCTAGACAAAACACTCAGGGATCACCATCTACATTATTATTATTATAATCAAAAAAGAAGCGCTAAGCCACAAGGACTATACAGCTCACCATCTACAACCACCGACGATTATGACTTACTTTGTGCATAATAGACATTAAACTTTGGCACTGATGTAGTGAACACGTCCCATTACACTACTTTGAGCGTCACTCCTGAAGTTTCCTTATTTTGTACCCTCGCTTCACACACGGAGGGCCCGGGTTCGATTCCCGGCGGGGTGGAAATATTTCTACGAGTTTCCTTACACCTGTTGCCCTGTTCACCTAGCAGCAAAAATGTACCTGGGTGTTAGTAGACTGTGTGGGTCGCATCCTGGGGGACAAGATTGAGGACCAGAAGGGAAATCAGACAGTCCTCGATGACTCACTGTCTTGGGTTATCCTGGGTGGCCAACCCTCCGGGGTTAAAAATCCGAACAAAATCTTATATATCTCACTGGGCATATTAAGAAAACCTGTTGTTGACCCAAGTGGGGGGGGGGGAAGTGCATCCACCTCTGCCGGGTTGGCATTATAATGGTGGCACATCCTTCCTGCCCCCTCTAGTTAAGGGCAGCGTCATGTTAAAAATGTTAATTTCAAATAAGTCACAAGATTGCCAATATATCCAACCATTGAACTTAGAAGCTTCGGATTCAGCAAGAAATTTATCAACTGGCAGTTTATTTGGATTTTTCATAAGAATACAACTATACAACGTAAACTTCGCATTAATTGCTGATGTGTGATGTTCAGATTCAAAGTTTATTCTCTATAAGGATTACAGTGCTGAGTTTACAGAATTTGGTTATTGTGTGGTTTACATGTAAAATAATGATTACAGAGTGTACCACTAGAACGCCTAGCATGGCTAGGCATTTCGGGCAGACTTAGTTTAATTCTTTATTTTAAAATATTACAAATTATGAGGTAAGTTGGTATTATGGCTAAGTGACTAAATACTAGTTTGTGAGTTTAGCAATGTGAATGCTTTTGTTTTGGCACAGTACATAGTTTCAGTATTGGAGTATCACAGGATTCATTATTTTAAGACTGAGATTAATATTTCTGTTTATGGTCAAATGGGTGAGTGAGTGTAAGTGTGAACCACCAGGTGGTATTCGTGTAGTTAGTTGACGGGGTGTATCAGGGAGATTATTATTATTATAATCAAGGGGGAAGCGCTAAACCCGGAGGATTATACAGCGCCTGGGGGGGGGATGTGGAAGGCATTCAGGCTTAATCGGACGGAGCACAGACCATTCCAATCAGAGCCCTCACCACATCAAGAACCTCCTTGGGTATCAGGAAAAATTTCTAATGGTAGTTTTGAAGGTGATGAATGTGTGCCGTTCTAGAGTTCTCAGGTAGGATGTTAGAAAAAAAATAAATTAAAACTATTTGAAAGTTTCAGTGGCACAGCACCAGCCATTTTGGTAAAATAAAATAATTTTAAATAAACTCAGTCACGAAACATTGCAAGGTTTCCTGACAATTCAGACTAAATCATATTTTTTTTCCTAATTTACCAATTACCAAAGGCGGTGCCAAAAGATATAAAAAGGAAAGCTCTAAAGCCGTATGAATATACAGCGCCTGTATGTGGAGTGGGGGGTACTCTGGTTTATTTCAGGCAACTGGAGCACAGATCCAGTTACCTAGATCAAGAGCCCCTAACCAGCATCAAGAAACTTTCCTTGAGGGGACCAAACAACAGACTTCTGCCCAAATAAAACTAGTTAAAACGCTGCTGTCTTAAGATGTCCTCCCCTCTATTTTCCTCCCTCCAGGGTATAAAAATTCCGGCGCCGCTTCCATTAATTACCAGTGTAACTCTTAACAAGAATGTTAGGCTCAAGAAATCGTAATGACACGATTGCAAACAAACCATACCTCCGGCCGGGATTGAACCCGCGGTCATAGAGTCTCAAAACTCCAGCCCGTCGCGTTAGCCACTAGACCAGCGACGGGGACCGCGGGTTCAATCCCGGCCGGGGGTAAAGAATGTTAGGGCTTAGTCGCTAGACCCCATTACATGGGTTCGAGTGTCCACAGGATGTGGCCGTAGTGCATAATAAAGATGAAACTCCTTGTAACCAAGTGTTATTCAAGTATGGTAGTCAGTTCCTTTGAAAGAGGTTTAAATTTCCAAAATGTTTACCGGAGTCCAAAAATATTGAAAATCTTGGTATCAATAAAAATGGTTAGATTTTTATTTAAAAATTTATTTAAATGTCTAAAAAGAACTCAATTTTGAAAAATATGCAATGATTAAAACATGTAGTCTTAAAATACCATAATAACCAGCCTTCCAGAGGCTAATGTTAAGTGTTCCGAACAGATACCGGCGTATTCTAGATTATTCTTGGTTTATCTCTTCTATGGCGGAGTTCAGTTCCAGCACCTGCTTCACTAGGCCTTCATCGTGCATCAGACGAGCCAAAGTTACCAAGGTACTTCGCAGGTCACACACTCCTCTACCTACTCCTGCCGCTACTGTACCAACAGCCTCTTCTATTTCATCCTTCCTGACATCATCCAAGAAATAACTCAATGGCTGTTTGAAATGTCTCATTGATCCCTCAACTTTGTAGAAGAATGTTACTGTAGTGTGCTGCACCCTCAGGGGTAAGTAGAGGCCGCAGATTAGGTTCCCTTTACAGTCTCGTCCCAACAGAGACTTGAATGGCTCTAGAAGATTTCGACGTTCGGCAATATCTAAACCAGAAAGGAAGGGCCTGGAAACGTGGATCAAACTTTTAATTTGCTTTGTTATCCCTTCTCTTTCTTCTACCACATGCCAAGCCACGAAAGATGGATTTTCAGACCAGAAGTTATATTGGAAGGTTCGGCGAACATCCGTGCGCGTTGTACAGCCCTTAAGGATGCCTGATTGAGGTGGTAAACCGTCCTCCATGACAGTGATGGGTTCCCCAACGTGGTAGCCGGGGTCGAAGAGCAGTACCCCAGCACGACCCCCAACACGGATCCTCACGCATAGCAACACGTGCTCCTTTACACACTTGTTCACTGGAGGCTCCTTCAGGGCTCCATACCACTCCAAGTTCTGAACCTCCTCTTCGCAGGAAACCTGAAACCATAAAGAAGGTTTCAAATATAAAAAAAAAAGTTACACGAACTATATAAATCATATTCCTTTCCGTGGTTTCTCATTAGGTACTTAGGATCAAAGGATATAGATTTATCACTACTGAAGGGAGGTTCCTTTATGCCAGGGAGGTTCCCTGGATTTAAATTGTAGTCCTTGACCCTCGTCTTCCTGGAATATACCTGGCATTCCTTCATCTCCCTAGGAAGACAGGGTTCAGTACTCCCGTATGAATAAGCTTAAATACATTCCCCTCCCCCCCCCCCCCCCAAAAAAAAAAAAAAAGAAAAAAGAGACATTGAATTTAGAATATTTAGCCAAGACTTACAGGGTAAGTAGCATCCTTCAGGCCGGGATAGTGTGCTTCAAGAACAGAGAGCCTTGTGGCAAGGTCTGTGGCGAGGCCCACACAAGTGTATCTGCCTGTTAGGAGAGGCGGGTCATAGTCACGGTAGAATTCCAGTAGCTCTGGGTAGTCTTCTCTACAATTCAAGTACTTCTTAGCAAAGCTGAAATATAGAGGAATAAATTAAGGTATTATAGGGAATCATGAGTTTGATTTCTAGCAAACAGACCGTTTACCTACGTGCCAAACCAAGAACCGTGTCTAACAAGAATCATACGTTCTAAAGTTCGTGCCTTGTGTAATATTTATAATTTTACGAGAAACTTCAGATATACAAAAGGAAGTTAATATAAATACATTGCTATTAAAAAATCTTAATGTGTAATAAGTCACCAACAGTTTCGCTGTAGTCTTAAATGTGTGGAGCCTCTTGTACCTGTAATGGCCCGTAACAGTACGTCTCATTTGATTAGACATGTCAGCTACTGCTGTGTACCTGACTGACAACCCGTGTCGACAACCCGTGTCCATAACCCTCCTCCCCGTATAGTAGTATACAAGGCCTTTTAGGGAAGCTTGGAGATTATTTAACAGGTAATGTTATTAAACAGCGAAGTATCGTATGTGGCTAGGACATTTTCCTAACTAAGGATTATTTTTTCCCCCGACATACGGAAAGTGGTTCTTATAAGATATACACCAAATCAGTTAAAATGCATTTGGTAGTTACCTTTCAAGAATACTAATGCGGTATACATTGCTCCTTCCCTCCCCCCGCCCGGCCCTGATTTTTTTTTTTTAGACATGGGAACTCAGCAACCTGTTAATTTGTAAAGATATGAAGAGCAAAGGGGGAAAAAAAAAATTTGGACATTCATAAGATGTAAACCCTTTCAAGTCAGCTACGTAGATGTGTAAAATTTATAGTGTAAATTATAATTCAAGGTGCGTGCCAGGCAAGAATATATCAGGTGGCAATACCCTTCACCACAAGGCTAAAACTTACGTGATAAAGTTTGAAATAGTGTCATAGGGTAGAGACGAGAGTGCACGGTGCAGGTGATAGGTAACCCGCGCCAGAAATCTTTGATATTCCTGGAGACAACTGAAGTTAACTTCTGGACGTTCACATCCCCACTCAGGAAGAGGCAGAGGACGAGCCAAGGGCCATTCATCCTCGCCCCAGCAACTGTCATCATCACTGTCATCATCGCAAAGTGAAGCATTTAAGGCTGCTCGCTCTTTGATGCTAACTTCAGAAGTTCCAACACCGCTGAAGTAACCTGAAGACGATGATGACCAGTCACGTACAGAGTGTAGGTCGCCCAACAGTGACAAACATTCACTGAAGAAAAAAAAACCGGTTAAAACTACTTCAGCAGATGGCAATCACGAATTTCTAATGTCTGCATTAAAGCTATTAAACTACAAAAGCAGTTATTTATGCATTTTGTTTCCTTAAAAGACAAAGACAAAAATCTTACCTGGCTTCGCTTGGTTGGTCGAGTGTATTAGGAGAGACAATACATGGCCTCCATCAGTAGAGACAGATACATGGCCTCCATCTTGATGTTTGGTGCACCATGGATGTTCCTGGTCGAGTCAACTAGGCCACGTATTACCAAGCTTAGTGAAATTATTCACTTGAGGCTGTGGTATTGTGGTGTCCAAGGATGTAGAGGCCATTTCCAGGGGTTTGTTGAAACTAGTCTTGAAAGTTTTATTAGAAGTTAGCTGTGGTGCGCAGTCTGAAAGAAAAAGTCTAATATGGTGACTAGAACAAAAGTCATTTGTAGATGCGAACAATTTTCCAATAGTGTTATTAGTAATTAAATATTTAAATACTTAGCGATTGTAAAGAAAAAAAAAAGTTGAAGACGGGTAATATTTGCGAATCCTTAGAAGCAAGATTTTCAAACATCTAGGCAAGTATTCCCAATAAAAATACCTGTTGCAAAAGTATTGCAAAAAGCGTTTATGGAAGGTAAACTTTACTAGGTTGGTAGATGTAAGTGGTTAGGTGGTGTTTGTCATGTTAGTAATAGTAACTGGTGAATTTTTAACATCATTTATTGTGCAAATTATTATAATCAAGGGGGAGCACTAAACCCGTAGGATTGTTGTGCAAGAAAGGAGACTGGAAGTGTTAATAAATAACTTTGTATAAACCAAGGCCTGTAAAGTTTAGTTTGTACGAGCTACTCTCAAGTCTATACTAACGTTAAAGAAAATATTTCAACAAGCATATTAGCATAAAGACTTAAGATTTTTGGTATTATGCAAAGTTAAATTGCAAGGGGGAGAGGTATTTTACTAAAGTTTTAGAGCTAAGGGCATCACAAGGGCTGTGATTATTGTACACTGTAGCGATTATTATTATCAGAAGCGCTAAACCGCAAGAGTTAGACAACGTAGCGATTAAAAATAATCTTAAACGTGGGTTTGGTGGATGACAAATTCTCGAGTAGCGGCACTGAAGGGCGACTATGCATACTTTTTTTCCCTCCCCAGAAAAAAATTCCAGGTTAACGAGGATCCATAGTTTTTTTCCCACCAGAACTAAGCGCTAAACCCAAGGTCATACAGTCCACCGGTCTAGAATAATTCCTAAAAATAGGGGTTAAATAGGAAGAGACCTCGGGGTATATGTCAATTGTTGCACGTATTTTACCTATCCACCCCCGTCCCCCATATATTCTTGTCACTGTAGTAATGTATCAGTAGTATCTACAGTCCGTGTACATGTCCTTGTAAACACCATTACGTGTCATTATGATTCCGTGAGTCAGTTATATATCCTTGGCCCGTGTATATCCTTCGTCGGTGTATATATATATTCTCGGTCGTGTCTGTCATTGGTTCATATAAACTACGATATAAATACAGAAGAGTACCAGAAACTTACCCATGATATCACACAGGTGTTGCAGTGTGGTTGGTGGCTGACACAATGCTGCAGCTGTCTCCCTCACTCACTTTATATTTCCTCCTTAAGATGCCACCTACGCAATTTCCATCACTTTTTTTTTTTATTTCATGATTACCGTGGAATATCATTTTTTGTTGCTACCCACATTTGTCATTGCTTCCGCTACTGAATTCTCCGAGATGGAATTTAAGTAATTATCAATATATATTGTGTATAATTACCGAAATGATTTCAATATGGCGATTTTTTTTATGTATTAATGATAAATTCTTTTGCTCGGCAGAAAACTGAGTGTTCATAAAATAACTCACATATTAAAAATCATATTATTCTATTACAAAAAGTCACTGTAATTAAAACACTAGAGGCGAAATAGCAAGACTAGAAGTATTGCGCAACAGAGACTCGGCTGGTGCCTTACTATGACGCAATTATAAGATATGACGCAATCACACGTCAGTCCTTAAAAAAAATTGTTACTCAGTAAACAATACCAGTTCCCAGTATACCCAGTTATTAAATTAGACACATATACAAGATTATAACATGTCGGTTCTTTGAACCAATCATCTACAATACCCAGTTATGTGACCAAATGAAATGTAATTTACGGTAAATTCAACCAATTAATAATTACAAGGCCACAGGAAGAGTTGTAGTTAACAAACATAGCTATCATGCAAGCTGGTTTTCCTGTCATAGTTTGTTAGGAAGGATATATTGGCAAGCACTGGTTTGGCAATAGTTGTGGAAGAGTGGAACAAAACTCGCAACAGCAGCGTTGTTGAAGCGGAAACTGTGGGTAGCTTTGAAAATAGGTTGGATAGGTATTAGGGGTGGGGTGTGGGTAGGTATGAGGTGGACCTGCCTAGCATGGTCCGGTAGGCCTACCGCAGTTCTCCAATGTTCTTAAAACATAAGAGTTTTGTTAAATTAGAACAGGAAACTCTTGGGTATTTTTTTGGGGGAAAACGTTTCCCCACACAGGGGCTTCATCAGTCCATACATAGGAGAAACTTGAAAAAAGGGAGGAGAATGAGGTTACTGGGGGTTTTTCCCGGGGACAACGCCCCCGGGGCCCGGTCCATGACCGGGCCCCCGATGTCAGGGCCTATAAACTGGGCTGTTACTGTAATAAATTTGGGTAGAATTACCAAAATATGAAAAGGAAAAGGAAAAAGTGCAACTAATGTGACATTTATTGTGCAATGTTTCGCCCCAGGAGTTTCATAAAGTTGTAAAGTCCTGGAGGCGAAACGTTGCACAAAAATGTCACATTAGTTCATTTGCCCTTTTTAGGCTGTTACTGCTGGCCGCACGCAGCCCAACGTACGAGCCCAGCCCGGCGATTCGGCACTGATTTAGGTATCTCCCTCTCTCTTGAAGGCAGCCGGGGTTTTTTGGCAAATTTCCCCCAATGCTTGTGGGGGGCTGTTAAACAGTTTTGGGCCCCGACCTTAGGGTTTTCCCCTTTGTGTACCAAAGGCCCCTACTTTTTATTGGGGGGGATTTTGCATCGCCTGCCCGTCTTTTACTTTCGTAGGGAGTGATTTCGTGTGCAGATTTGGGGGCCCTTCCTTCCCAAAATTTTTTCCAAATGTAGATTATGAATATCTCTCCCTCCCGATTCCAACGGTTACAATAAGTGCTTCCAAGCGTTCCCTAGTTTGGTCCCTTACAGAATTTTCGTGCAGTAAAGGATCTTGTCACTCTCTAGATTGCGATTTTACCCGCTTTGAATGGAGAGTTAATGTTTCACAGTATTCCAGCCTAAGAGAACAAGTATTTTTAAAAGGATCATCAGGGCTTGGCATCTCTCGTTTTTTAAAGTTCTCATTATCCCCTCCCCACATTTTTTTTGCACGTGCGATCGTGGCACTGTTGTGATCCTTTAAAGTGAGATCCCCAGACATTACTACCCAGGTCCCTTACTTTTTTTCCGCTCTATTGTATGGGGCCCGGGGTCAGTAGTAACTCTGTTCTAGTTATTATCCCTCCAGTTTTCCATAACGGAGTAGTTGGAAATTTTTCCTCATTGAAAATATATTTTTTACGTTTCCCCTTGGAAAACTTTGTTTATATCTTCTTGGAGATTAACCGCGTCCTCAGAGATGACAGCCTCTGCAGATCCGATCATCCCCAAGGAGATACGGTGCTGGGGTAATCTCTGTTTTTTGTCTGATATGAGGGGTAAGGAATAAGATGGGGCGGTACGTGCTTTTGGGGAAAAGAGCTCTTCATTGGCAGCCTCCCATTTAATCGTTTCATATCTTTGTGTTGATTTTTTAGGGAAATTAAGATCCTCTCCCCCCTTTCCAGTTATTCCTTTTTCACGTATTTTAGGGGGTATTACGCCCTATCGCTTTGTCAAATCTTTTGCAAATCTGTGTTATAATCGCATTTTTGATTTTTTCCAGTGCATCCAAGGCCATGTCCCCCCAAATTTGAGACGATGTGGGCATTCCATCAAACTTGAATTTAAGATTGATGGACTGACCACATCGTCTCAAGGTTGAGGGACTGATTACCTCATTTTCCTCCTGTTCTTCAAGTTTCTCCTATGTATGGACTGATGAAGCCACTGTGTGGCGAAACGTTTCCTCAATAAAGATACCCAAGAGTTGCACATGTGTCTAATTTAACAACATGTCGGTTCTTTGAACCATTCATCTACAAACATAAGAGTGGAGGAACACGGCAGCAGGCCTACTGGCCCATGCAAGGCAGGTCCTTCTAAATACTACCCATGCTTCCCCTGCTGAGTAAGTTTACAATAGACCATGTGGAAGTGTTAGGTAAAAGGACACATGTACAACTAATGCGACATTTTTATTGTGGCAACGTTTCGCTCTCCAGGAGCTCTATCAACCACCAGATGAAATTCAACGACAAACGAACAAGTTCAGGTAAGCTCCCAATGGGATGAGCGGGGAAGACGGGACAGGCGAAGAATAGCGCTGGAGAGGAGTGTTCTTAGTTGTAGAAATAGAGCCACAGGTGACAGGTCCTTAGCTTCGAACTATAGACCAATAAGCCTAACCTCCATAGTGGGAAAATTTATGGAATCAATAATTGCCGAGGCAGTTCGTAGCCACCTTGAAAAGCATAAATTAATCAACGAATCTCAGCATGGTTTTACAAAGGGACGTTCCTGCCTTACGAATTTATTAACTTTTTTCACTAAGGTATTTGAGGAGGTAGATCATGGTAACGAATATGATATTGTGTATATGGACTTCAGTAAGGCTTTTGACAGGGTCCCACATCAGAGACTATTGAGGAAAATTAAAGCACATGGAATAGGAGGAGAAATTTTTTCCTGGATAGGGCATGGTTGACAAATAGGAAAGCAGAGATTTTGCTATAAATGGGGAGAAATCAGAGTGGGGAAGGTCACGAGCGGTGTTCCACAGGGGCAGTGTTGGGCCCCCTGTGTTCACAATCTACATAAACGACATGATGAGGGCATAAAGAGCGACATCGGCAAGTTTGCCGATGACACCAAAATAGGCCGTCGAATTCATTCTGACGAGGACATTCGAGCACTCCAGGAAGATTTGAATAGATGATGCAGTGGTCGGGAGAAGTGGCAGATGCAGTTTAATATAGGCAAATGCAAAGTTCTAAATGTTGGAC